ATATTTTTGTGTGCATGAAGCCAAAACAAATTTCTTCTGATCTTTGTAAACAGGTGGTAGCCTTTTTCTGCAAAAGAGGGTTATTGCCATGCTGCAAAGTGGATGTGAATACTGATTGTTCTTAGAGGCAGCCATTCCGACTTGCACTGAAATTTCTGCAGAAGAATGCCCTCATGTAACAATCACTCTAATTACAGGCTATAGGGTTCTCAGGCTCTGGGAATCCAGCAGGGAAAGCATTTGTGGTAGAATTAGGTATTGAAGCTTATGGATATTTTAATCCACAAAAAAAAACCCCACAGCCCCAATGAAAAAAACAAACCCTGGAAGAAGTAACAAAGAACAGACTGTGTTTGATTAGCAGGCTATAAACCTTAGCATGCAGTGCTTAAACATGGAGGAACAAATTTTCTAACAGGCTGGTGCTATTGTGTAAAAGGAGGATTTGAGCCAAACTCCCAGATTTGAAACCCCATGAACCTTCAGTAGCCCAGGCCAATCCTTGGCTTAGGTTCATCTCAAACATTGCAAACACAGAAAAGGTCTCTGAGCATTCACAGTGGCGATCGGAGATCCAAAAGGGGATGGTTTGTGTGTAAGGTGTTCACTGTTTGCACACACAAGGGGTGTATCAGTCCCAGTATGAACATTTGCCCCTTTGATCATTATGAGGATGTTTTCAGAGCATCTTTGAAAACATGCTGCAGCATAACAGGAAGAGAACGTTTCTGGCTTATATCCTCAGTACTTCAGCTGGCTACTAAGTAACCTCTTCAGTGTGAAGAACTTTATCTGGCTTCTCTAATTCTCACAAAATGATGACTCTCTTGCACATTGCCCCTCCTCTGTGGGCCCCTCTGACAGTCCTTTCCGGTACTGACAGCTGACATCAGGTTCCTGGGTCTCATGGTGGGTTCCTGCTCAGAGGACAACTGGATTATTACAGGTTTAAGCAGTACTGCCTTCTGAATGGCAGCTGTAGTGGGTAGATTTCAACAAATTATGAATTGCACCCAGACCAACCAGAGAGATTTATGTGCCAGTTTTATTTATTTGCTTTCTCTTTTGCAGCAGAGTAAGCTCTGGTTTCCTCCAAGCTGTGCAGGTGCTGTAACTGGTGATAAGACAGCAGCAGTGTCAGTCACAGCAGTGCTGTGATGGAGACGAGCATCCTGTACTTGCTGTGTCTGAGGGTTGTGTCTGGAGCTGGAGAGGGGAAAAGTTTAAGATGAAAATGAACTGCAAGCAATTACCAGTTTATGGGAGAGCTCGTAAGGGATCCAGCGGGTGGTGGCACTAGCTTGTAAAAACTGTTCTTCCGAAGAAACTAGAAGAAATTTTAAAAGTGCACATGTGCACTGTTCAGCTAGCAAAAGCTGTCAGAGCATCCTAGAATGTTTCTTTTTAATAAGAATATAATCACCAACTTTTACATCAAAGGTACTTTTTGTGTGTTTCCTTTGGAAATAGCTAAATGGGCCGTTATCATCAAGGTGGCAGCACCAGTGTAAAAGATGCAGGAACACATGGAGATAGGAATGTTTTATGGTTCGTGACAGAGCTGTCATCAGAGCATGCCACCTCCTTGAACTGAGCTGTCTGTATGACACCGAGTTGTGATTTACGCCAGTTTGCTTGACTGCACTGTGGGACCTGCCAAGGTCCATCACATGAGCAGCTGCAACCAACTGTAGATGATATTAAAGCCGGTAGAAGATGATTTTGCAATTCTCTGCTGGCCTTTCTCAGAGTCAGCTGTGGAGTGGTGAGAAGCCTGAGGAGAAACGGGTCTGAGTTTTGTCTTGAGACCGGGTGATGTATTATCACAGTTGCAGATTGCCATAGCAATAAGAAGTCACCAGAAATACTGTTGTAGAACTCCAGCTTGTCCTGACTTCACTGTTTTTTGTCTCTCCACACGTCTTTAGACTTAACTGGTAAAAGCTAAGTGCTGGAAGTCTAGTTCTAGGAATGAAGTTGGTGTTTTGTTTTTTTTTTTTGAGTAGTTAGCACGTAAAAAGGATTAACACTGCACCTGGATTGGCATCATTAAGCAGGAGAGGTCTCCAAAAGGAGGGAGCTGTTGGTGGCATGTATGCAAGACCGTGGGCAGACACAGGGTGCGAGCACTTGGGAGTGTTACACCCGTTCCTTTTTCCAAAGCTACCTGTGCTGCATGGCCACACTGGCTGCATACAGACCTCACAGTGGATTGTTTCCCGATTTACTCTCCCAGATATGGTCTACACACCTGGCAACACCAATATTAGCTTAAAAGGTCCAACAGAGATACAGGCCCTCATATTTCGTGTCTTTGGAGATGCATTTTAGCCCATGGAGTGCACTGACAGGCTGGTCTGAGCTAAATTGAAAGCTTTGTCCTTAGTCTCTTCAGCTGTAATTCTTCCTCTCTTTCATATGGTTTGATCATAAGCTTCTAATAATATATGAGACACAAGCTGCTCGTTCCTTCTCAAAATCTACACTACATTGTTGGAACTCTACAAGGTTAACACACAGACACACACGATGGACTATTGAAACAAGCTGCTGAAAGAGCTGTGTCATAATATCTATGTACCAAATGCTTCTCTGACTCATACCCCCCCACATACCCCCTGCAGTGATTTTGTAAGTCAGGGCAAAATTTAGACTACTATTTGTTATCTGGTACATATTTCTAAGACATTGCCAAACAAAAGCTAAATTTAAAAACTATGACTTTTGTTGTCGCGGGTTCCAGACTTGCCAAAGGAACACGTGTCAGCAATTTTAGGCTTAGTGGCCACATAACTCTGAAGTATACTTATTTCTATAGAGTCTCTTGGGTGATAAAGCCTGACACAGTTCTGTTAGCTGTTTATGTTCACTGTCACTGCCTTCTGGTTATTAGTGTTGCTTCAAGAATTTATATTGGAATAGAAAAAAAAGATTCATGTAAACTCATCTGTTATTTATGTGTATGACAAAGATATTGTGTCTTAAGAGCTAAAAACAATGCTTTTAATGATTGGATTGGGCTTGTGTGCACATATGGACAGCCACTGGACAGTCCTGAATATATATTCTGTCTTTATTTACTTGATCATGTGTCACATTCAGTTGTGAGTCAGTTTGCCTCAATGCCTAATGGTGTTCTATTTCCCTAAATTAATTGATTAGTTGAGAGGATGGGGAAAGACTCTGGCTTTGGATATAGAAAATGAGACAAAGAGACTCTCTGATACAGGGAATGGAAGTGTGTTTGAACTTCAGATTCATCCTACACCATAGGATTAGTGTGACAGAGCTGGGAAAAATCATACTACTGTATTTCCCAGCTCATATATGAATTGTATATCTATATTAATTAATATATAGCCCAATGCTGTGGATTGAAGTATCTTTGGGAGTTACTTCCAAGCTTGCTAACTTCTTAACCACCTGATACACACCTTGGAGATACACCAAATGGTGTTCTGTCAACAAGGATGGATTTCCTCAGAAGTAGTTATCTTTAGTATACCTTAAGAGTAAAATGCTGCCGCTTAGGTCTTTATGTAAAATAATGATCTTTAAACTGTTTTGTGGTGATTTGATTCCCATTCATGGATGGAGGTAAGTGTTTTCAGTTAAAATAATTCTGAAATTAATGTTTGGCAGCAGGATTATTTCAGAACTTAATTCTTGGACAGAGACTTTGAGGAAATCTGATGAGACTTTGAAAGTATTCTGCATGATTTCTTCAATTTAGCCCAGTCAGAGTATGGTATCTTATACTGCTGTAAACCGGGCTAGTTATATCACAGCCTATATGGTTTCAATTATTGAAAGGTACCGTAGCTACCTTAAACATGCATTTTTGCTCATGGCCATGTGTCCTCAGCACTGGTGGCTGTCATTTCATTGCCCAGCAGCTGTTCCACTGCGTTTCTCGTGCCCGCTGTCACTTCTGTGGCTGTGTCCAGCCCTGAAGCGTTGTGGATCTGGGCCAGCACCATTTCTAGTCTGTGTTACTAATGTGCAAGATTTTGTTGTCATCTGTTAGCAACTGAGCTGTAGATGCAGAAGTCCCTTCTGTTACTTTCTTGACAATAACAGTAAGATTCAAGGTGATACCTGTGCTCTACCATCACTGATCTGAACTTATCTGTAGTAACTGCTGCCTTCTGTTTTGTCTCAGGAGAACGGAAAGGTTAATCTGTTGCTACCTTTGTTTTTTTAATAAAGACCACCCCAACTTACTGTAGGAGCATCAACTGAGTGCTCCCTCCATCCTGTCCTCTCTTGGGATGAATTGGTTGCTGTCATCCCTTTTTCGTGCTGTGTCTGTGGGGTGTGTTTGTAGTCAGCTTACACTGATCAGCAGAGTCCAGCCATGGACCTTGCAAAGCCTCATGGTGCTGTGTGGAGAGTCAGGTCATCTCACTGATCCAGCTGAAAATTAGCTTTAAAAATGTGTTTGTATGTTTATCAGCTCTGAAAGGGCCCCACCAAAAGTGCTGCTGTGACATATTCTATATCTCAGTGTCAAGGAGAAAAACTTGGTCTTCTGTATTCCTTACCATCATCACAGTCCTGAATATGTGAGGTGGTATTATGGTGGGAGTGTTCTGGGTAGATGCAAGAGCATGGGGAAAGAAGAGCAGCTGTCAGGGAAATGATGCATGTTGATTTATCTACAGTTCTGGTAAAGAGTGGAGCAAGCAGATCAAGTCAAAAAGCTGTGCTTGCTGTCATTGTTTTGTCTGCCTCCAGACATTTGACCCTGCCTTGGAAGTTGGTCTTGGGCCAACAGAGAAAAGAGCGTCACCATTGTGTCTCAGAGTCAGCTTTGCTGAAATCATTAGTTAAGCCAGCATACAACCGATGTGAGAGCGGGATCAGGATGTTTTGTTGGTATTTTTTCCCCCTAACTGGACTAATGTCATTTAGCATACAAACTTACTGCCATCTTGGGTTGTAGTAAGTGGAGTTAAATTTATGTATTGAACGTCAGTTGCTCTCCTTGGCTTTTCTAGGACGAATCCTAGACTTGAAGACTGGCACAGTGAAGAAGGAGGGTCAGCAGTCTTCAATGAGAATGTGCATGGGATCAAGGCGCTCCTTCATTTGCAGGATGAGGTATGCATCTACCTTGTATCCCTGTGATGGTTCCAGGCCTGTCTCAGATTAGACTTCAGACATTTTCTTGCACTAATTTGACCTTGCTTAAGAAATGAAGCTGTAATGACACACTCCCATTAAGCATTTCCAGAATGCTTGGTTTTGGAATGGGAGTAAAACTGACACCTACCTTACTTTATGATTAATGACAAAACAGCACCTCATTTGAGTGTTGCAGTTATTTTTATCAGAGTGGGGTGAAGGATTCTCTCCCTAGAGAACTTCATGACAACTTCACCTCTGGAATGTAAGCCATTGTCCTCTTCTAGTCCAATTACTCAAATCAGTTCTTTGGGAACAAAGCTTTCACAAATGTAATGAAAGTCCAACTCTGTGTATTTTTTCAACAAACCAATAATATTAAAAGAATCTTGAAGACAAACAGGAATTCAGTTGCAAACTTGCCAGCTATGTAAGAATTAACCTAAGCCTGGTATGAATTAACCAGATGTCAGCTGGTTGATGCTAGATGAATGAGTAATTGTTAGAGGGATTTTATTTTGCAGTTTTCCAGCTTCTCCTGCATTGCTTGGGCTTCTTTAAAGAGATCTGCCTGCTCAGTGCTTTCTGACTGGATCTTGTGGGCACTTCTCTTGGAGTGCTAACGGGATGAAATGCCTGTTGCTATTGCAGTAAATTTCTGTGTGGTATGGGGGGAAAGTACATAATTACATCTGCAGCCTATATCCTATGTATGTGTTGAAACCAGATAATCCAGAATTTATTATGGAATGAAATACACAAAGCAAAGCACTGGGCACGTTACAACAGATGCCTGTACTTTGGTTATGTGGTGGATTTTCTTCCAGTCATGTGAGGTAGCTGAATGTATGGCTCTCTGGTGGCTTTGTAAGGGGTTTACTTCACACCTGCCAGATTAGACTTCAAAGCTATAGCTCCTTTTCCTCCCTTAACCTTGGGGAAAGAAATACAACCTGGCAGAGACATGCTTGGAACATTGTTTTCCTCCAAGCTGCACCTAGTACTTGTGTGAGGATGATTTTTTTTGTGCAAAGGGAATGAGGCCTAATGTCTTGTTTACAGTTGTTTCCCAGCTTCTAAAACATTTCAGATTGCAGTTACTTCCTAGCACCCTGATTCTGTAAACTGCAGTGCATGAGAAGAATTTTATACATGTTGGTAGCCCCATTGTTTTTGTAATTCTGAATCTTATTTTAGTTGTTCATTCCTTCTCGTTGGCAGTGACTGGTATTAAAAAAAAAAAAAAAGATAAAAAGAATAATAACAATTAAAAAAAAACACTTTGTGGGAAGAACGAGCCTCAAATAATGTGAACTTTCCTTGTGATTACTTCATTGTTATTGTTCTTTTTTCCATTGAGAATGAACTGATTTTACCCTTCAAACTATTTACTTAGCTTCGAGTGGATTGTTAAAATTATACAGTTAGGCATAGTTAGAAATATCATAAAATATACATGAACAAGTGTCAAAGTTACTTGACAGTGTAATTAGTCTGTTCTTGCAAAAGTTAGATTAATATAAGCTAACATTGTAGCAGTTATATGGCAGGCAAAATGCTCTGTCCAGGGAAGCTACTGGAATGCTGAGATTGTTTTGTGTGGGTATTTGAAGGCCTGACTTAAATTTTCTCTAGTTTTCATCCCTGTTTGATAGTGTTTTAAAGTGTATCTATTCTTCAGCCACTCTTGGAACATTTATTTCAAGTAGGTTTGGGGGAGTGGGAGGGAATCTTTTCATAGTCTCGTCTATTTTTCTTTATAAAATAAAGTATTTGTAGCACACTCAAAAAGCTTAGACTGTGGAAACAGCAACTTCTAAGAAAACATGAATCTGTGACTTGCTGTCAGAAATACATATCTATTATTGCCTACTTATGTATATGAATAAAGGTCCTAAAAGGAATTTTCGTCTTGGCTATTTATATTCAGTTTTGAGCCCTTTCAAATATTAATTTACTTTTAGGTGTGGAAATGCTCCTCTGGATCATTTACCTCTGAACAGAATAACCACCATGAGAAAAAGATACAGGTACTATTACTTAATTTACCCAAACAGTTAGTGGCCATAATAAGCACTCCTATTTCCCACTGGTCTAGTGCTCAATGGAGTACTGCCTGGATAAACATCTACATTAGCACACAGCATGAAATAGCACTTCCAAGAAGTATTACAGAAAACAAGTAAGGCGTGAATAGCTTTGTCATGGAGCTGATGTTGTACAGAGCTCTAGGTTGACAGCAGGTTGTTTCAGACTTACAAATGTAAAGTAAATCATTAGTAGTGATTTAAAAACATAAAGTTATTCTGCATGGCAGTCAATGTGATATTTCTGTGTTTCCTTTTCATTTAGGAACGGCCTTGGCCCAGTAAAAGAGGGCGAAGCACAGTATGCAGTTGTCCATTGCACTGGCTACATCAAAGCCTGGCCACCAGCAGGTGTGTGTCTATCTCATTGAACTCTCTGCAGGACAGTTGAAAACCTGGCTTGGGGTCCCTTTTCTGATACAAAACCAGGCTGAATTTCCATGGGGTAACCCATTCAGTCTTATCTTGAGAAGCTTCTGATACCAAGAAATCACCTGGTTTTACTCACTCTGGGCCTCCTCATTTTTCCATGTGAAACCCTTCTCAGTTTCGTTGACAGAGAGAGCTGTGGAAGCTGTCAGTAATGTGGGATTGCAGCAGCTGGGGCCAAAAGGCTTCACAGTGGTGGAGTTAGTGGAGAATGTTCAGTGTTTGTGATAAGTTCTGTTATGAGGCTGTTTTTCTGGGAAACAAGTCTTGGCATATTGCTTTCAACTACAGAGGAAAATGTTCACCTACTGTAACTCTTATTACATATGGGAATATTTACCTTTGAAAAATTCAAAAAGGAGACAGTGGAGCTCATCCAAACGTCATCATGAACTGGGTTAGTTGACCTTGGCATTTGCAGGAGTTGAAGAGGCTGTTTGCAGTATGACAGCGCCTGCTGGCATGAATCAAACCACGAGTTGTTCTGCCCTTTTGTGGTCGTATACCACAAGCATAAATCACATTTGTCCAGGGATTAGGAGTGCTAAGAGGTGGTTTGCAACAAGTCTGTGCAGTGGTGTGCAGACACCAGCCTGCGGATGTG